TGGAAGTATAGTGACTTGAATGTGGAAGTCTTGGAAAACCACTGTCTGGTGAACATGTTTTTTACCAGCCAGAGCACTTCGTTATCAGGAGCTAGCTGCAAAAATTGGATGGCGCTTCATCTGATATGATAGAAAACCTCCTGGAGGTAGCAAACAGAGTACATGTGGCTCGATCCAAGACTGAGGCTAAAGGGACCAACAGCGAAGAAGAGTGCAGTGTTGCCCTTCAGGCCTAAGCTCTCTAGCAGGCCCATTTAATGGGGGAGGCAGTGGTCTTCTCAGGGCGAGGAGTTGGAGGGTCCCCTAAAGACAATTGACATGCTGAAAGTATCTTGGTAGGTCTTAAGCACAGTTGAAATCTCCTAACAAAATAAGGAGCGAATCTGCGTTATCTGTCTTCAGCCAACATAATCAAGTCAGCTAGAGTTTGTAATGCATTGTTTATTCAAGTTTTGGAGGAATATACATTGCAAATAGAATGAATGAGGAAAACTCTCGTGGAGAATAAAATGGTTTGCAACTGATAATTAATGTCTCTAAGTCCACATCACAGAATTTCTTTAGTGTGGTTACATTTTTACACCATCGGTTGTTGATATAAAAGCAGAGACGCCCTTCCTTTCTTTTTACCGGATGTTTCTGCAATTCTGTCCGCCCTCTGTATCTGAAATCCTGGGAAATGCAAGCTGCTATCATCAACTGACTCATTTAGCCAGGTTTCAGTAAAGAAGAGGGCGGCTGAGTAGTAAAAATCAGAGTTGCATGTGTTTAAAAGAAATATTTCATCCATCTTATTAGCAAAAGAGAGAGCTGCCACTTCCTTGATGACAATCTCCTCTGCATTTATAAAGATGGGGCGGGGGGGTATAGTCACAGAAAGCTGCCCATTAAAAAAACATTGCTTGATGCTTAACAGTTTGGCATGGAAATGAGTATTTTGTATTATATCAGCAGAAAGCATTGTAAAAGAAATCCACTTTCTATACAAAAAAGGAAACCTGTGCAGTTTTTAAATTTTTCTTTCAAAGCTCTTCTCACACTTCCTTTATTGATATGGTTTCTCCAGTGTATGGATCCTTCTATGCCAAGCAAGAGTGGAACTCATGGCAAAGCTCTTCCCACACTCCATGCATTGATATGGCTTCTCCCCTGTGTGGATTCTTTTGTGGGAGATAAAATCACAATTCCACCTAAAACCCTTTCCACATTCCACACATTTATATGGCATCTCTCCTATGTGGATCCTCTTGTGGGAATTAAGACTACTGCTATAAGTAAAGGTCTTTCCACACTCCATGCATTGATATGGCTTCTCTCCTGTGTGGATCCTCTTGTGGGAATTAAGATTACTGCTCTTAGTAAAGGTCTTTCCGCACTCCATGCATTTATAAGGTCTTTTTCCTTTGTGATTCCTATGATGGATTGTAAGAGAGTAATTACAAGAGAAGGACTTTCCACATTCCGGGCATTGATATGGCATCTCTCCAGTGTGGATCCACTTATGGGAACTGAGACTACTGCTACAGGTAAAGCTCTTTCCACATTCCATGCATTGATATGGCTTCTCTCCAGTGTGGATCCTTTTGTGGGAATTAAGATTACTGCTACGAGTAAAGGTCTTTCCACACTCCATGCATTTATAAGGTCTTTTTTCTTTGTGATTCTTATGATGGCTTGTAAGAGAGTAATTACAAGAGAAGGACTTTCCACATTCCATGCATTGATATGGCTTCTCTCCAGTGTGGACCCTCTTATGGGTATTGAGATGACTGTTACAAGTAAAGGTCTTTCCACATTCCAGGCACTGATATGGCTTTTCTCCAGTGTGGATCCTCTTATGGTAATTGAGACCACTGTGACCAGTAAAGGACTTTCCACATTCCATGCATTGATATGGCTTCTCTCCAGTGTGGACCCTCTTATGGGTATTGAGATGACTGTTACAAGTAAAGGTCTTTCCACATTCCAGGCACTGATATGGCTTTTCTCCAGTGTGGATCCTCTTATGGTAATTGAGACCACTGTGACCAGTAAAGGTCTTTCCACACTCCATGCATTTATAAAGTCTTTCTCCTTTGTGATTTCTTTCATGACTTCTAAAAGAGTAATCATTACAGGAGGTCTTTCCACACTCCCTGGAGTTATATGTTTTCTCTTCTAAATGTGTCTTTTTATGGGAAATAAGATGATCAGATTTATTAAAGCTCTTTCCACACTCCATGCATTTATATAGTTCTTCTCCCATATCAATGCTTGTATGGTAATGAAGCCAACTGACCCTCGGAAAGCCTTTTTTCATTCCACCTTGTGATTGCTTTCTTTCATCACTCTTTGGCTGTATCTGATCTAGAAACTTCCCTTTTCCCTGTTTTGAATGGATCATTTGGCATTCTTCCTTGCAATTCTTATTTTCTTGCCCATTAAAGCCTTGAAAAAGAAAAATGAAAACTGTAGCAAGAATAGGGGAACAATCAAACCTTTTCTTCCTGATCTAATCTTTGACCTGGGACTATTCCATGGTGCCACAAACTCCCTAAGTGCATTGGACACTGCTGGGTTAGCAACATATCCACCCAGTCCAGAACTTCAATGAAAGTCTCATCCCCACTTGTCTGCAGAGCAGAATGTTTCAAAGCCAAGGGGAATTCCTGGATGGCAATAGCTCCCCACCCTCAACTTAGGCTAATATTAAACTCTGTACACAAGTGGGCACATCTCTAGGAAGGGAACATCCCTCTCAGGGCTAAATCCAGTCCTGCTTATAGCAGCTCACACCCATCGGGGAACCAATGACAGGCTCAGGAGTGGATACTGAACCCCTGGTAGGCAGGACCTTTGCTCAAGAGAGGCCACACCATTCCTGCATACAGCCTGTCCCTCACATTCTGGCTAATATCTTCTATGGCATGGAAATGAATATTTTGTATTTTATGAGCAGAAAGCGGGTTTTTTTTAAAAAACAAACCAACAAACCATTTCCTTTATGTAAAAAGGAAGGCAAGGCAGTTTTCCAATTTTTCTTCCAATAAATTTCCTTCTTCCATAAAGTCAGTTTGGTCAAACGGTTAAGGCACCAGGCTAGAAACTGGGTGACTGGGAGTACTAGTTCTGCGTTAGGCATGAATGCTGGCTGGGTGACTTTGGGCCAGTCTCCCTCAGCTCAACCCAGGTCACAAGGTTCTTGTTGTGGGGAAAACAGCAGGAGGAAGGAATATTGGGGTTTGTTCGCTAGCTTTATTATTTACAAAAAATAAAGGCAGAGTATCAATGTTTTTATCAGAAATATCATCTAAACCCCCCCACACCCCATGACTTCTCTATGTTTCCGAGCACAGACAGGGATTCTTACCCAGAGAAGCCAGATTCCTGGAATTCTCCAGCATGACTTCTCCGTGGAGAGCTTTTTGGGCAGGGTCCAGCTGAGACCACTCCTCCATGGAGAAATACACAGCCACTTCCTCAAAAGACACAACATTCTGAAAAAGAAAAGAAATTTCCCTATTAACAGATAATCCCAAGAATAATTTGAGGTTTTTCTTCCATTAATTCTAGGAAAGAGATCCAGTGAACAAAATGGGCATCCTCTGCAGAATTCAGAGTGAGATCTCACCGCTTTTGACTGATGACATAACTGAAGCAGATTGGATCTAGTTGGCGGTATTTGGAATGCCTTTCAGCATAGCCAACTAAAATAGTTTTCTTGGTCACTTGGTAGTTGGGTCTTAAATCCACTTAGTATCTATGGAGATTCTCAATCACCAGATCACAGTTGTCCCAAAGATGATTTCAAAAGGCAAAATAAGGATTTTTTTATAATGGTATGTGAGAATGACCCTGGGAGAAAGAAGGAACAGCCCCAATGCTCACAACTGTCTGGTCAGGAGGAGAAAGCATCTCACAAAGGATCCCCCCAGAAGAGAGAGGGTAGACTAAGCTGAGCATGAATGTTCAATGACCGGATGTCAAATTTATATTGCTTAGAAACAGCAATTTTATACATTGAACTCTAGAACAAAATGAAATCCATCCAAGATTCATGGACCTTTCCCGACGTTTCTCCTCTTTACCTGAAGTAGAGGTTCAGCCAATCCTTCAGCTCCACCACAAAGAGATGACTCTACAAATTCCACAGACAGCTTTCCACTCTCTGTGAGACAGAGAAAAATGGGGGAAGGAGATTTGTTAAAGAGAGAGATTGTAATGATGTGCAGCTAAAGAATCAGCTAAATGTTGAAATCTCACATCGCACAGAAAGACCTTCTGTTACCTGGTGTGATGTCCTGACTTTGACCTTTCTGGAAGTTCTCCTCAAATAGCAGCTCTTGAGAGGGTTTGGATGAAACTTTCCCCCCCCTTGGGATACTCAGTCGTAGCTTCCAAGGATTTCTGGACATGATGTGATAGGAGAAACAAAGGAAGAGCACAGAGATAGAAATGAATTATCATACTGCACCTTCAAATTAGTAGACACCAATGTCCATTGTTGAAACCCAAAACGGAATGGAAGAATTGCCCCAAATACATCCTCTGGAAGAATAGAACAACTAGCTTTAGGAGTTAATAATTCCAGAAAACTCTGACAGAAAGAAATTGACAATAATCCAGAAAACTGGAATGAATTGACAAATTCAGAGAGATCCTCTTTAGACCTGTTAAGACTATATTCTCACACCTGGAACTCTTCTTGCATCTTTTCCACATCCACGTTCAGCAAGAAGCCTTCGGCCAGGGCCACCGCCTGGGAACTGGTCTCCGCTCCACACTCGCGCACCCATTTCTCCATCTCTGGGGGAAGAAAAGCCAGGAACTGGTCCAGGAGCACCAGGTCCAGCATTTGGGCCTTTGTGTGTATTTCTGGCTGCAGCCACTGACAGCAAAGGCGGTGAAGCTGACTGCAAATATCTCGGGGTCCCCTCCCCTCCTGGAACTGCACGTTTCTGAAGTGACAGCATTGGACTTCTGAACTGTTGGCTTCATCTTCTTGGCTCCTCTGCCCAGGAGTTGCCCCATTCGTTTCACAGCTCCAAGACTGAGCAACTGCAGAGCTTTTTCCAGCTGGGCGTTGTCCCTCCATCTTCTCTCTGGTCTCTAATCCAGCTCCAAAACAGACGGATGGATCTGCACAGGTCTTCCTAATCACAAGAGGTCTGTCAAAATTTCCTAAGTCCATTTAGCCCTCTTCCCACAAAAGATACTTAAGACTCAAGAGCAATCAGGAAAGATTTCCGACTTATATGTCTGAAATGGAAAACAAAAGAAAATTCTAGAAATACAGGTTGACCAACAACTAAGCACACACAAAATCTGAAAGAAGAAATTCTTATCAACCCACCAATATCTGGGAAGAGGTGAAATCTTTGTAGGTAGTGACGTATCTCTGTGTGGAAAAAAATCTGTAGTAACCTTCTGGATCAACTTCTTTCAAGGACTAAACAATTTGGATACATAAATTTAAAATATGTTTTTGATTTCTTATTCCTACTCATTTATTCAAATAATTTTGATGGCTGCTTGCAGTGTGAAAAGCAACCTCTGTACAATCCAGATCATAAATGTCTCAGGTCACAAATAGCCATTGAGATGAGTGGCTTTCTAAATCGATTTAATAGGTAAATCAATATTTGAACTTCCCGTGTAACTTTAGCCAGCAGAACCTCATTAAACTCCTGGCCCAAACTGCTATGGCTACCTGAGAAATCACAATCAACAAACCACCATTCGACTTCCGGTTTGAATTCCGGCGCCGATGGCGGCTTTTTTCTTTGCCGCCCGCCCCGAGGACGCGTAAAAGCCGCAGGAGCAGCGCCAAACAGCTGCTCCGCGGCTTGGAATCCCCTTCCCCGGGCAAAGGGGAGGGGGGGGAGCCTCCCTGATAGGGGTAGAACTCCTGAGCTCTCACAGTTTTACAGCTGTGGGGGTGGAGGTGAGTTCCCCCGGAGTCAGGGACATCTCCGCGCTTCGGGCTGCCTCCGTTCCAGTGAACGAAGCCAGACACGGATTCAACCTCTGCTTATGGGAGATCGTGAGTAATCTTTGTGAGCGGACAGAGCGATCCAGGTGTTTGGGAGCTGCAAGGATTTGAGCCTTTAGCTCTGAATTTAATGACTTCTCCATTGATGTTTAAAGGTTAAGAAGAAAGGAAGAAAAAAAAAATGGCCGTGGAAGGGCGTTTTGCTCTTTAACAGAGACTTTCACTTTTTGAGGACTTTCAATTTTGTTTTCACTTTCTGCTGGACTATTATTGTATTAGATCTACTTGTATTGTTGGTGGGCAAGCTATTTGCTTCTGCTTTTTGTGGCAGTTTTAAGAAAATCTTATTGGACATTATATTATATAAATTAAATTAGAGAAGAGGGGAAGAGAAAGT